AAGCGAAGGGTGCGCACAATTCAGGGGTCTCAATCTAATCAAATTTATCACTGAAACAATATGGCGCCCCGATTTTACTTCGCATCTACCCAGACCAATCATTGAGTGGTAACGAGTCACTCGTTCGCTTGAGTTTCAGTTATCTTAAATGTCGCTCCTAAACTTATTGTCATCATGAGATATTTGTCCGATAGGGTTGCATTTTTTTCAGTAAACCGTTGCTTTAAGAATTTTTCACATGCAAACTATTGAACATTCAAGCTCACAGAAAAGAACACTTCGGGTTACTTACTCACATAAAATATGAACTGCTGTGTTGATTGCAGCCATATTTCCGAATAGCAGTGGACTAATTTCGTCCCATCTCGTTTCTTAAATAAGCTTCGCACTGTCAGCGTTTATGAAAAATAAAATGCTTCAACATTCATTTACCTCAGAATATTCCGATAATTTTTTGTCAGGCTGGCCAAAGTTTGTGCGGTGAGGGGCTAAAAGACTACGAATCGTGGCTTAAGGATTGTGGGACAAGGCCGAAGAATTGCGGGTTTTGACTAAATCTTGATGCAAGAAGGTGTAGTTGCCATACATGTCTTTTGATCATCTACGGAAATTAAATGCCATTTGAATATGAAATATTTTTTCATGTTGTAATAATAGTTCCTCTGTCCAGTAAGAAGTAGGATTATCATCCCAAGGTAGACAAATTTCAGTAATAAAATCAGAGCCGATCAATTTGGTTTAACCTATCTGATTCACTCACTCACCCACGGACAGGTACGATTCCGTTTTGTCGTCATATTCGGGCCAATAGACGGATGGTTTCGATGCAGACGGCCATATATTCGGCTTGTTTGGATTGCTAAAACGGAACAGAGTACAACGGGTATGACTGAAGGTGTTCCCGTGGATCTGGACGGTGTGAGTTCCTGTGATACATGGACGTAAATTGGACAGAGGAGGAAAAATAAAGTATTTTTTGTTACCTATACAAGTTGCTAGATCCCAGGGTCTGTGTCTGTTGTGCTTCTGCGTGGTTCTCATTTCGAGGGGGAGTCCTTGCATGATGCTATTGCGGTTTGCCTGCCGATGAGATATCATATGTGATCTTCAGCAAAGAACTTCGGGCAACTGGTTCGCACTGTTGTAATCCATCAGCAATACAAGCTACTTTTATACCAGTCGCAGTTCAGGGGTCGGATATATTGTTAAAACTACTTGTTTGGGGACCATAAAACGGGACTAGGGCGTTCTGTGGTCGAAATGATGGTTGAGCGTGCAGAACAGTGTTTGCGAGATCATACCTTGCATCAACAATGATATGCTTTATTCATTCATCCTTATATTGAAATTATAATCAAATATATCGTGGTGATACACTTTTTTAGGCGGAGAATTATGATTACAGCTTATGGGAGCTGATGATATTCATTTTGACATCTCTCTGTTGTGCGGATGTGGAGTAGATCCAATGAGCACCCAGTATATCACTCAATCATCAGCAATCAAGAATAAGATAAATCTATTGTGATTGTATTTATCATTTTCTTGTTACTCATAAGGATGGAGCAGAGATTCGTATGCTGTAGGCTATTTACCGCCTACCGCCAGCGGGGATGTACGCTATCGGACTGGTTTGCAGGTCGCGCATAGGATCAAGGCTATCCAGGCAGTAAATTGTGAATAGGTTCATCTAAAATCGGTCGCCGATAAGAAGCGGTGACAACCGAGGACGTGGTTGGTTGGAGATAGCACTTTGTACTGCATTCCGAAGATTACTGATGGACTCGTCCATGTAAGAAAAAAACGTAAAAAAGTGAAATTATGCTGAATATATTCAGTAGCTGTGTGTAGTGTAATTGTGGTGTTCGGTAATACAATTGTTTAAGAGTGGTCGAGGCCAAGTAAAGCGCTGTCAACCACGGTATTACAGAGAACAGCAATTGATCATTGGGGAGACAGGTTTAGGCATAAAAAATGCAGTCTGAGGTCGCATTCATTAAGTCGTTTTTTCAAGCTTGGATAGGAATAACTTGGACACAGAGAACTTAGAGTAGTCTAAGTGACTTTTAAAAACTATTCGACATACCTAATGAACTAAATGCCTCCGAAAGCCTCAGTATGGTCAAGGGTGGGTTTATAGGGTTGCGGCTGGTCAACCTTCCCTCGAACACCACGAAATGCTCCCATATGACCAAGCGTCTCAAATAACCTCTGCTGAGGAAGCCCAACTCACCGCCTTCTCATGGAAAAGGTGTTTTCCCATCAGAGTGAGTGGGCGAAAAGCCGACATCCAGTGCTGTAACCAGGTTGGTGGATCACTGGTAGTTCACCTACGGGAGTTGCCTAAAAACCCTGATTCCAAACCAAGAAAAGTCGTACGAATCACACACACATCGAGGTGTATGGGGCAACTTGGACGTTCGACCCCGTCCGAAGGTCGTATGATCCGATGAACAGCATCTCCTAATGGGTTATGGTCTTCACAGCACGCCGTTGCCTTGCGGATCAGTCTTTAGCTAACCAAATGCTGAGGTTGTGGATTCCTCTAGAAAATTTACCTACCTTGGTCCACAAGCAAATCATGGAACGTTTTTCTTTTTTTATAGAGATTATTGTACCATGGTTTGTCTGGCACACAGTCTGGCCTCAGAATTGTGTGAAAATATAATACGAACTGAATCATTCGTATATAGCGCATAGGAAACTTGAATAAATAACTTAAGTCTAGTGTTGCGTGCGGTTTTTTTGAGTACACGATCCTGTTTGAATTGACGGAGGAATATAAAATTTTGACGGATTAGATATCGAATCCTATTTATTATAAAAGTTAACTAACTGTCAGACTTACCCGGAATGTATGAAATTCGTCAAAAATTGGAGAATTTTGAACGAAATACGTTTATCCGCTTCCGAGTAGGATTCCACGAATGGATCCAAACGATTTGGACTGACCAGTGGGGCCCCCAGATAGTATGCCAAACCTTCATTTTGTTTGATCCATGCGTTACTTCGGGCTGAGATTGGTTCCGGATTTGCAGACGTTGCTGTAGCATGCTGAAACACAGTGAAATATGTCCGTGGTTCCCTACTTACAACACCGGCCACTGATCCTCGGTGTTTGGACTCCAAGATTTTAAGTGCGTGATGCAATTGAATCGTTTGCACAGTTGGAGATAAAAATAATCCGTCAGAAAGAAGCTCCAGTGCTTTCTGAATTGATACCAGTAGTAGTGCAATAAGAAAAAAAGTGACCAAAATTTCAAATTATGAGAAACTTTTTAGCGCTGTATGTGTTACTTGTTATAAAATCCCCAACAGAATAGTCTTTCTCATTAGTTTTACTGTGAAGGATAATAACCACAAAAATCACTACTTACGTGAGACATCGATGGCTAAGTTATGCAACAGTTCATCACCTTATTAAAGATATTTCAGGCAAACAAACATTTGTGTTTGATTCGAACATGAAAGTAAGCCACCATCACTGACTTTGCATATCTCCAGAGAATTGTCAGCTGTTCATAACCAGTAATAATACGGAGAATTAGATTTCAAATTTTTATCGATTCCGTTTGCGAAAGTTTGTTTTGTGAAATAAATATTTATGACTTCGGTGAAGTTCAGTTTAAATCGTGGTAACCTACTTTGTTCTTCAATGAAAGATGATGTTTTCCAGACAAAACTGACCATCGACAAGTTTGTTACAATGAAAATGATTTTTCCACCTAGAAACATCAAAATGAACTTTATTCTACAATAAAAACTGGTGAATTATTGCTGTGCTACGTGATGCCACTGGTTTTACCAAATGACGGGACTCAGATTTCCGACTCTTTCGCATAACACCATGCTATTCAGGTGAGATGTACAACTAAAGTGTGGAAACATAGGGACATTGTGCAAACATTTATGCTCATACACCTTAGCTGCCGATTCCACACAAATATTGCTTCAAACAAAACACTTCTACTCCATAAGAACAAAGTCGAAACGCGAAGAAATTTCTTTTCGATATCTCGCTTCAGGCATTTACATATACAGTTCAGTAGATTAATCCAAGGCCTAGGCACATGTTGAATAGATGGATGTCTGTGTGCAAAGTTTTCTGTTAACAACAAGCTGTGGGATCACGATAATTGGATAGGGAAAAGTGGAATGAAAAATGTGTGAACTAGAGATGATATGAAATGTGTTAGTCCAGAGTGAATAAAACATCAACCTAGGCCTACCTACTGACTAATCGAACTATATATGTAAATGCCTGAAGCGAGATATCGAAAAGAAATTTCTTCGCGTTTCGACTTTGTTCCTATGCGTCAATGGAAATATTTTACGATTTGAAACAAAGCGATCATCCTATGGTGTTAAAAGACCTCTACTCCATACACCAGGTGTATGTTTTAATCGTTTCATTAGATCAACGGCACACTACAACATACTCAATGCATCGAATAAGACTGGTTTTCAGTGATCCTTCTTCTCTGGTTAGTATATGTAGTTAACTTACAGAAGGGTAGTGGTTAGACCTATGTAACTTGACCTATCACACCCGAGATAAATGGCTTGCAAGCAAGTCGACGCAAGTAAAAACGGAACTGACCAATTGTGCCTTCAGAGACCCTTTGGATCAGATGAAAACTACTCAAAATAGAAAGTTAACCGGATAACATATCACTATTTGCTAATACACCAACCATGAAAATGAATTCTTATCTAAGGGACTGTATTCAAGGCAATGCCACTGAAATCAGTATTGTAACGGAGCATTTAAAGTGTTGCTTTATTTTTACGCGTATAGCGTACAATTTAGATTCAACAATGGCATTTGTCAGCAGAGGGACGAAGTGGTGATCTCTCTCGACTATGTCAATGTTGCGAGGATGTATTGAAGGCAATTTAAGAGAATAACGCACCGATGTTTTCACTCAATAATGCAAAATGTTGACAAAGACCTAATGCAGTTAAATTGATGGCAGCTGGGACGGTGCGCACTCAAATACCAAGTTCATTCTAAAGGAGACAATTAGAAACCGCTAAAATGGATCGTTCTTGCACTCTGTGTATAGGAAAGTCGCGTGGTTAGGTCAAAACAAGCAGTTCTGTAGCTTTTTACCACTTGTACGAAAACGAAGCGTAAGTCACTGTCTTGTCAATTAGATCGATACCGTTCGAAGTGAATAAGGGCTTTTAATTAGTTCGTAAATAAAATGTCGATACTCATCGAATCGTTTGGAGTATACTAAAAGATAAAATGTTGAGGGAAAACCTGTTGACGTATTCAGTATCTCCTAGTTTGATTCCTCTATCCTGGTTATTGTCAGATCCGGTATGAGCATCAAACACTGAATAGTTGGCATTAATCACTCTGTATTCACTTCGTTCAGTGAACTCTGCTATAGGAGTTTCAAAAGAATCACTGAGTATGAGTTTTGTTTGATTCGTCGTGTTTCTCCTCGGAATTAGTTTTTTTTGGTTCTGTATTCGAACGGGTATTTTAAGTAGGCATGCAAATAGAAAAGAAAGTCAACGAGTAAATATTAGTCAGAGGCTGAGAAATACAGTTTGTATGATCTATTTGTATTGAGTTTCGCACATAATTTAGTCAGTTATACGAATCTGCTCAGGAAGAATAGACAGCTGGGAACGAAACTCCGCACAAGAACTGGCTGGGATTGTCTTTTTGATAATCTTCTATCATCCGTTTGTACGATGAGTACTGCCCGATGTTAATGACCGTCATTTAGCTGAATTATATTTAGGCAAAATCGATAGAGAAAGAATGTTTGATGGTCCAAACGAAAAGGTTTTCATAGCCGGAAGAAATATTTCCTGATAGCCGTGTCATGCAAATCTTGGAAGATTTCACCGTTTATTCTATTCATTTATTCTTTTCGCTCGTCCCGTCTCTCTGCGCCTCACTTTAACGCCCATATATCCTATTTTTACTGACTCAGTCACCTTTGGATTGGTGAAATCCATGCACAGAAGAAAAACAGTCTAGAACTTTAACAGTGCTCATTCAAGGCCTCAGCCCAAACTGTAGACAATACTGATATCGGATCCGATTATTCTGAGGGAAACTGTTGTGAATTGATAGTTCATTTCAGTTTTTACAACCGTTAACCATGTACTTTCGTGTGTTGGTTTTGGTTGCTGTCTTTTGAATATCGATTTGGATAAAAGAAGATGAAGATTGGAATTCTGAGAGCCCATTCGAAGGGGAAGCTAGAGAATTCATATAGACCGGCGTTAACAGCATAATTAAATAGACGCATGAGCGCCACTGTTTGCTATATCCAGCAATATCGTTCATTCTGTCTAACCATCGGTGACCATGATCTCGGGGTCCCCAGCCAGGGCACTTATTGTTTGCTTAGAAACTGTGACTGGGAATCATATGCCATCGTGCATCCCAAGTTTCTGTCATTGTTCAGTTGGATCGAGAGCTTTCAAGACGGTGACTCAGCTAATCAACAATATACTAGTTGATTTAGTATATTGTACTTCGTTAACTGACTGATATAATAAATCTAACTGTGCCATCAATACTGTCTGTCAGAAAAGCATTGTCGGAGGCTTACCTCAAGAAAAACTTCGTACGTCGATCCAGTATTTCGGTCCGATAGTTCTTTTCGATACGTTTTCATGTAGACAAATTCCAACAGGTCCGTTATAGACTTCCAGTTACTGGGATAGAGGGCGTGCGAGAAGTTGAGTAAACTGTCCGTCCATCGATCGTGCCATTGCGAATGCTTGTAGACGTCCAAAGCGGGTAGTTGAGTCGAGCAAACCATCAAGTCAGCTTGACTAAATAAAGTGCTCTCCAGATAGGTAGTTGACCTCGATGAGCGCATGTTTTGGAATTGAAAATGCTCGGCAGATTTTTGTGCTCCCGCTTCGGGACTAATCTGGTTGGTTAAGAATCCCGGAAATAAGTGGTGTGAAGCGACAGGACCTAACAAGGTAATGAATGGAGGAATCTTCAAATTTTTCTGGATCCTGAGGATTTCATCGATCGGAAGCGCTTTCAAGAGCTTGATCAATTGCTCAGAAACTGACGGATACTTGATGGTTTCATTCGTTGAATTCACATGACTCTTGGTTGGATTGGGTTTTAAGTTATTGAAAGCACTTGTCTGGACGACAGTACTGGATGACAGGGGGTTTACGGGTTCACGCCTATTCTCTGAATCTTTATTCGGCTTTGCAGAAGTCACATTCAGTTGACTTGCCAGTTCACTCATGAGCCAGTCTTCTCGAGTCGATATTGCCCAAGGTGCGAGTCCAGAGCCATCCATCAAGATGATTCGTTTGATGCCTTTTCCACCGATACCTAAAAGGGGTCATTTTGAACTTATTGGCGGACTGATTGATACAAATAATCAAGTGGCATACATTGAATTGCACAAATGACTACTTTGATCCGTTCCAAATCGCCTTCAAAAGAAATTATTCAATTGTTAAGGTGGGTGCCTTTGCAAATGTTTCTGAGATTAAGTAAAACGAGGATGCTTTGTTTGTTCTGCTGTGCCTGTCAGATAATCTAGGGTTGATTAGACTGTCGGGTTAACGTTCTCAAACACTATCATGTTTATGACTGAAAGCACTTGAGCAATATTGATTAGATCACACTGATTCAGTTACGCTCAACTCATTGGTCACTGCTTATTGAACGTCTGTCTGAGTGTGGTCTAACTCCTGAAGTCTTGAATGTACTAAGCGACTACTTCTCCCATAGGACCCAGTTTACTTCACTCAATGGTATATAGTCTTCTTCTACTAACATCGAAGCCGAGGTTTTTCAGGGTGCTATTTTGTACCCCTTCTTGTTTTCTATGTACATACATACATCTGCCCACTCCCAGTAACTTTATTGCATGTAAGTACGCTGATGATTGGTTGTGATTGATTGCCGATCCCCTATTTCAAACAGTTTCCGACCTCTCCAAGACAGCTTTAATAAAATTCACGATTGGTCCGTGACCCGATCCTTTGTACTTAACATCAGTAGGTGCATTGAAGTTCCGTTTAGTCCTAAAACCGGTCCCTGTTATCTTTCATTAGCTACTAATCTTCCTGAACTTACAGTACTGGCCGATTGTGATGCAATAAAATATTTTCTTTATGAGCAAAGAGAGTTTCGTTATATTTATCACCCATGTTAATGCTTTAGGTATGGATAATAATTTATATCTTGTCTACTTCGATGTACGTAGTTTCTGGGCTGCATGATTGTCAATTAAACGTGCCTGACCTTGAGTGCCAAGAATAAATGATCTGAACATGAGAATCGCAAACTGTATCAAGTATGACAACGCAATACTTTCTAATAAGAATGACTCAAGAATTATCCCAAATTATTTCTGTCAACCCTTGCCATTTCCCTTATTTGTAATGAGGCATTATTTTATCTAATGTATAATCTATTATAGCAACGCTATTGGATAACCAAATGAAAATCTTTCACAACCCAGAGAAATTGCATTAAATAAGGTTTCATAATAATAATCTGTTTGATATCTGAATCAATCAATTCGAGAAATACCACCTCAATCAAAGTCAACCTTGAAATCAAGGTCATTTTTGTGCACAGCTTGGAATGTTCGTATTGTTGTCACCATAATGAAGCAAGTAGCGCTTGAAACCAAAAGTTCCCGTTATCTCAGTGAAAAGGACAGAAATAGAATTGCACGAGCACACAAGCTGGGATTTTCCATATCACATCTTGCCCAACGCCTTAACATTAACAAAAGCACAATTGACAGGATAATCCATGGGAAAACAACAACCCGAAAGATTGGCTCACACAAAAGTCGTTTTTAGTGAGAATTTCCCAAAAGAACTTATTCCACCAAATGAAAGAGTTTCTCACCCGTCGAGAAACTCTTTCATTTGNNNNAAACATGGTCAGCCTTGTCGGTGGATATCAGTCAAAGGCACCATGAATAGTGCGAAATTTGCATCAATAATTTCAAAAATGTTTCTAGAATTTCATGAAAAAGAATCGTATGGAAAAGTTATCGTTTTTCAGAACAACGCTCCGTGTCATGTTTCAAGAGAGATTAGTAGATTAATTAAATTAAAATTAATAATTAAATTAGTAAAGTAGATTAGTAAATTTATTTAGTTAAGTAGTCTGGTTCACTTATTATTTGTCTTCAGACTTCAGAAAAGATGCGTGACTCTAAGGTCCAGTTCAAGCAACTTCCTCCTAATATCCCGGATCTCAACGTGATTGAAAATCTGTTTTCTGTTTTGAAGAGATAGGTCGATGTGCTACCTATGCATTGGACCTTGGAGGTAAAAGTGCGATACGTAATGGAGCATAACAGAGAATGACTTCATAACAAAGTTGGTTGGTTTGACAGCGAAGAGACTCAAAAAAGTTCTAAAGAACAAAAACAGACTAATCGACTACTAGTGTACACAAACTTTACATCTTGCTTATTATCAATGTTAATTTGTTGTTAATTCCATTCCATGTTTCATTCTCTTTAGTAAACTCTTAACTCATCATGGTCTAGGTCAACCACTACTGACGAAATGGTAGTATCCGCTACATTTTGAACCATTCCATTCTGCTGAGTATAAACGATTCAGGAAAATCACGGATATAAAGACTCTCCAAGACTTGTTTATTATTAGTTTTGAAAAACGTTTACTTCATTATAAATGCTGTTGCCCATTCGAACCGAAAAGTGTTTCACAGGGTCCTGTTGCTTCAGTTTCGATTAGACATGTAGAGTAAACAATCAAGGCATTCCCAAATCTGCAACTGTTACATACCTTAGTGTCACTCTAACCCATAACCTGTCCTGGTCTGCTCATGTCATCAATCTTTTCACAAAATTTCGAAAACCATCTTTCTATATTTACAGGATCAGGAAACTGGACGTATCACATAATCTTATTCCTAAACTTGTGATTGCCTGCATTCTTCAACACTGGCTATACTGATCCCCGATTTTTATCCCTGAACTGAAAGAAAAAGAGAGATACCTTAAACTTTTCTCCCGCTAGAGTGGAGTTGATGAAGTTGTTTTAGTTGATTTATTTATTTCCAAGCACCTTGACGCTTGTGATACATTCATTGACAGGATAACACGTGATCAAGGGCACAAGATATCGCGAAAGCCCTGTCCAATACCCGAACACTCTCCAAATATCAAATCATTCCTGCGCGTACTTCCACATATTGAAACAGTGTAATTCCATATCTAGCTCGGTTACTAGCAAATCGTCAGAATATTCTCACCCACCTGAGGGAAAAACTGTTACACCAATTTTTCTCACATTTATTAAATTGTAGAATTTCTTATACTGTCCTTTTTGTTTATAATTGGTTTTATCTATCCACTGTAAAAATCGTGAACTGTTGAAAATTCACCCTTGGGGTGCATAAAGCTTTTCTTGACTTGACTTGAAGTATATTGAGCGTATGGGAACATGATAACTGGTGATAGTAGTATGATAATAATAATTATAATGATAATAATGAATGTTGGTTGATATTATATTTTTTCAGGAAATAGTAGAGGATGTATAGCAGAACAAAGAAAACGTAAAAGAGAAGGCCAGAAAGGATCGTTTAGCTGTTTCAACCTTTTTGGGTCTTATCCACATTGCAAATCAATCGATTAACTGAATATCAAACTTGGAATCTCACAAACATACATACATACATACACATACATACACATACATAACAGGTTGGTAGGTGATCACTGTCCCATTACTACTTGTAGAGTAGTTGTATCACAGCTGTTTTTTTGGAACACAGTTGCAGTTTCGTGCTTACGAAATAATGATTACCTCTGTGGAAATCGTGAAATCGCTGTAGCGACCTGAAACGCTTTTTAGGTACGTCGGCTTGATGACCAGAGAGTAGCAAATGAGATGCATTTGCAATTGTTGTTAATTTCATCCACTAAGGCCTTTTTTTTTTTGGGGGGGGGAGGGATATATCGAACAGTTCTCAAACAGCGTACCATA